ACCCCCAAGTCACGCCTTGGCTGGGTGTCTCAGCTGAAGGCTGTGGAACAGAACGGAGCTGGAGTGGGCACACACCACACAGGGGCAATTCCCAAAGCCCAGAGCTTTGCTCCAGCTCGCTGCAGTCCGAGGGGAAACGCTCCCTGGCCATGGCATGATTTAGAGGAGCGAGTTAAACAATTGCACATGAAGCTCTGGCAGACGTCATCGCCGGAGCTCTCCTCGCTCCCCCGAGTGTGGAAGGGATGAAGGGAGTGCACATGTTTACCGAGAGAGACCATGGGAGAAACGAAAGACATTGTTTTTCCAAAGGATTTCTTGGCTGTAAAAGACCTCCACCACCCTGTGGCTTCCCTGATGAAGGCCCAGCGTTAATTTGTTAAATCCACATCAAGTGCCCAGAGAACCCGTTGTTTATTTTTGCTAATTCAGCCGGCCGAGATCAAATTGGGGTTTTATTTGTTAAGGATAAACCTTAATTAATAAAAGCTATTTATTTGGCTAGAGCTGGCCGCAGCCTGAGGGTCAGATATGCCACGATCATTATTTCAAGTAAAACAAACCCAAAATGTCTCTCAACAGTTTGAAAAACGTAGAAACTTAGAGGGCTGAATTTATTTGTCTTAGGAAGAATTTACAGCTAATTCCCTCCAGGCTATTTCAACCCTTAAATTATACCCGAGAAGAAAAAAGGAGGAAAAAAATGCCATTCCAGGCGTAGTAGGGAAGTAAATGGTACAGCAGATTTGACCATTTTGGCTGGGGGGGTGTGAAAAATTTAAAGCTTAAAGGGTCTTTGGCAAACTGCTAGCAAATAAATGAAACGTGTGAAATAATTTAATGACAGAAAACGTTTTGGGGCCGTGGGGGCTGCGGTGCAGTGGAAAATGAAACACGTTGGAGGAGATGCAGCCTGGGCTTTTTGCGTGAGAAGGTTGAACTTGCTGCCTTCTGGCCTGAAAAACGGGGGCATTTGCACCCCAAAGCCAAGTGGTAGAGTTGGAGTCAGTAAACTGTCCCAGGATGGGGTGGTGCTGATGGGGAGTGGGTTTGCAGCATCCCCTGGGGAAGAGTCAGGCTGGCACTGGCTGGAGTGAGCACTGGGGTAGCAGGGTGGTGCTGGGCACACACCACGCTCTGGATGAGTAATTTGCAAATAAACCCCCCAAACTGGGTGTCCAGAGGGGAGGCTGAGCGTGGCTGGCAGTACAGCCCATCCCCAAAAGGCTTCCCCAGGGAGGATCCCTGCCTTGTTTCTGGGGCCAGGCAGGTGAGCTGCTGGGGTTGTGGGTGCTGCTGGATCTGGATCACAGCTGAGGCCATTTACTGTGCACTAATGGAGCTCCTGAGTCAAACCCAAAGCCTTGGTGGAAGTCGAGTGAAAATTGCCTCTTTAGAGTGCTCAACAGCAGCTGTGGGAGGCTGGGGGCCCTGCCAGTGTAAGGGCAAGCCCAGCACAAAGGCTGAGACCCACCGAGTCCTTCCTGTGGAAAACTGATGGAAGCACAGAGGGAAAAGGCAGCAGTGGAGAAGGGGGCTTGGTTGGTGCCCAGCTGAACCAGCACAGCTCTGACCTGGGGGTAGTGTTGCTTTTGCTCCCAAGTTCTCCCTGTGGCACAGTCCAGGCTTGCCAGCGCTGGTGCTCCCACAGGGAGAAGGGTTTGGGGGTGACTCCCAGCACCCCATGGCATCTGTAGGGCACGGAGCTGTCCCCAGGCTCTCTGCAGCTTTTGAGCAGCACTGCCCGAGGCAGGACAGCCCAGAGAGGAGGCTGGAGGTTACCCAGGCCACATCCAGCACCCCAAAACTCATCCACATCATGGGTGAAAAGTCTCCTGTCTTTCCTAACAGTCTGGGGCAATTTAAGGCTTTTTTGTGATGCGCACTGGGCCCATCCTGCTCTGTGCAAAGCCCCTGAGCCTCCCTCTCCCCATCCTCCCCCGCATGTCATCTTTCGTTACTCAGTAATGTTATCCCCCCTGTTTTCCCCCTTTCCCTGCATTTCTTTTCCTTTCAGCGGAAATTGTAATCAGTGGAAGATAAATACAGGGAAGGTGGCTGGGGGGAAGGCTCAGGAGCCCCTCTGACCTCAGGGCTGGCCAACCAAACTGGTCCCTTCAGCCCAAATGAACCCCCAAATTATACCTGACAAAGGCAAGGGTTTGGCTTTCTCCATAGCCTCCCCAAGCACTGCTCTGGGACAGAACAATGATGGTGGGGAGCTGGTTTTAACTTTGTGCAATTACAAACTCTTATTCCTGGGAGCCCATCGGGCTGGGGAACTGGTTTCCAATTCCTCCATCAAGGTGTCAGCAGGTCTGGTTAAAGTCCTGCTGTTGGCAGTGAGAGCACAGGGTGTCTTCAGGGGACCCAACTCATCCCCCTTCCCATTCCTTCTCTGATGCCACAGAGGACTTAGCCATGCTCATTTTTGGGAAGCTGATTTGGGGTTATTAAAGCATCTCTGATAGAGGAGATCCAGCCTGCCTGTGCACTGTAAACCTGTCAGACACTCACCACCAGCAATTAGGGTGGCATCTGTCTGGTCCCACAAGCCTGCAGTGCCTGAGCTAATGAGGAAAAGCTGTTGGTGCATTACCAGGGCTCATCCCTAGGCAGAGCAGAGGATCCAGGCAGGCACTCCGTGTGTGGAGCTGCCTCCCTGCCACAGAGAGATGCCCTGGAAAAGGTGTGCAAGGTCCCTCCTTTAAAAGCAGCAATAGGGGCTGAACAAAATGCCCCAGAGCTGGCATGGCCCAGGGTTTGCAGGTCTCCAAAATCCCGGGAACTGCTGCTGCTCAGACAAATCCTGATCCAACTCCAGTCTTAAACCTCGACCCCAGCCCCCTATGGGAAGCACTCAGCAGCACTTGTCTCCTGTGGCTGTTTAGCTCTTCCTTCTGTGGGTTTGAAGAGATAAAGACCAGCCAGAAATGTGGCCAGATCCTACAGAACTAGATTGAGAGTTTATTTCAAAAAACTTTCCTCCTCCTCCTTTCTCTCAGCCAAATTAGAGTGGGCAAGGGAGATCGTGACTATGGAAAAGTCCTGTAGCCAGGTTTAAATTGAGGATGAAGCCAGAGGGGGTTTATAAATTTTATTTATACATTTCCCAGGGTTCTGTTGAAACCATTGCCATTTTGGTGAGGGGCAGTGGGTGCCCTTGTGACTAGACTTTTTGAACCAAACCCTGATCTACCACTTCCCCAGAAGCCCTGTGGCATGGTCATAAACCCACAAGGAAACCTCTCACCCTGTTACATCCTGTAGCTCTTTCCCAGCCTGATGGTTCCCATTTCAGTCCCAAGCTCCCAGAAAACTCAGGGACAACCATGGCTGGACTTCATGTATTTTAATCCAGCAGCTCGTTAGCTCGCTGAAGGAAAACAGGACCAAAAAAGGAGTTCAACTAAAAGGGGCAACTGGAAAGCAGAGACTGGCAGAACATTTGAAGCTGCAGGAGGAAGTGCTGGAGGGAATTCTGAGAATTTTATTTGTGAGCCTTTAGACACGATTGGTGGCAAAGGGCAGCCCGTGGCTTCCTGGCTGGGGAAAGGGTCTCAATCCCACACATATTTCAGGCACTGTCCATTATGTCTTCACCCAACCAAGAAGGCCATGTCCAAAATACAAGATCAAAGATTGCTGATGGTCAAACAAGGCCAAGTTGCACCTACAGCACAATTACAGACCCAGAGAAATGCCAGTGGCTGCAGAGAGGCCTTGGGAGAAGGGTGTAGTTGGGCACATAGGGATCCTAGGGACTAGGATCCTGTGTGCCCAATGAAAAACTTATTGTTGGATGTTTCATGGCTTGAATTATTCAGAGTTAAGGTGCAAGAAGGTTTTTCTGGCCTTAAAGATCGTGGAAGTTTCCTCCTGCTCAACAGCTTGATGGTGTCTTGAAACAGCAGAGTTAATACCCTTTCCAGTAGATTTTGTTTGTTGCTCAAGCATTATCTGAAAATGCTAGACTTATTAAATAAGCATCACGATTAATATTATTAGCAAGTATTTAATTTGTGAGAATACTCCAGGGGTGGTGAGTTCTGCCACCCTGGCCACTGCACTGATATAGAGCAGAAAGCCCCAACATACCCCTGCCATGAATCAGAATGTCATAAAATTATTAACATTTCAAATAATTCCAGAACGCTTTCCCACCAGTAGGTACAGATTGGATCCAGATGCTTTATTAACAGAAAGAACCATTAAGCAGTACCTCCACAAGGGAGAACGACAGCGAGTCGTGCTCCCCACGAAGCCTTTGCAGGCAGCTGACTGACTGGGTGTCTCGGAAAAAGGCTTCACAAAATTGCCCAAACCTTATGATATTAGTGACAAAGAGGAGATTAATCTCAGCCTGGCTGACAGCCCAAGATCAATACTGAGAAACCAGACTACACCCTCAGCTTCATGTTTCCATGAGCCAGCAAAGCCAGAAATAAACACTGCGGAGGCTGAGCCCTGCGAGACGCGGTGCCGCTCGTTCTGAGCTCTGAAGAGCAGGGTTGGAAGAGCAGATGCTTGGCTGCAGTCCTGTGTCACCTTGGGGACATGCCACAGCTGGGGCCTCAGGGGGTGCTGGAGGTGGGAGCTGAGACTCACATCTTGGGGGTGTTTTGGTGCTGAATTTTCATCACCATTCCTGAAAGCCTGACTTAAAGTCTCAGCGAGAGCTGAGCTCCAGTTTGGATCGAGTGCGGCCCCAGCATACTGAGACAGGTATTCAAAATCAGTTCAGCATGCTTTCAGCCAGATGTGAAACCGCCACAGGCTTTGGTGAATTTTGGGGTTAACCCTAAGCTCCAGCAGGTCCCAAAACAGGTTTTGATTCTCATGGGCATCACAGGGTCGCACGTACCCCCACAGAGCCCCAGGTGCCTGGAGGGAGCACGGCTGGCACAGAGCAGGACATGCAGACCCCCAGGGGGGCTTGGCTGGGTCGTGGGGTCTCACACGGGTCTGGCTCTCATGTGGCTTCTGTTCCTTCCCCACAGGAGAGAGCCTGAGCCCCAGCTGCGGGGCAGCCAAGAGGAAGAAGAAGCAGAGGAGGAACCGCACCACCTTCAACAGCAGCCAGCTGCAGGCTCTGGAGAGGGTCTTTGAGAGGACACACTACCCCGACGCCTTTGTGCGGGAGGAGCTGGCCAGAAGGGTCAACCTCAGCGAGGCCAGAGTCCAGGTGAGCACAGGTTTGTGTGGGACAAAACAACACCTCTGCCTTGCCCAGGCAGCAGCAGGGACTGTCCCCTCCCTTGTTTCATCCTGCGCATCACCATGACCCACAGGACAGAGGCCTGGGACATCCCTGTGCGCACTGGGTCCCTGCTGACCACCTTTCCACCTTTCTCCCCACCTTTCCCCCGTCACAGGTGTGGTTCCAGAACCGGAGGGCCAAGTTCCGCCGTAACGAGAGGGCGATGCTGGCCAACAGATCGGCGTCGCTGCTCAAATCCTACAGCCAAGAAGCAGCCATTGAGCAGCCCATGGCTCCACGACCCACTGCACTGACCCCTGAGTATCTCTCGTGGACCAGCACCTCCCCGTACAGGTAGGTGGAGGCTCTGGAGGAGCTGGGGAAGAGGTGGCCACGGGGCAGGGCTGCCTAGAGACCGCTCCACTGCTGCAGGAATGCAGCCCTGTGCCCCTGCTGGGGATTTGGGGAGTTTTATGAGGCCGAAAGGAGCTCGCCTGACTTGGCTTTGGGAACCATTGCAACTCTGTCTGAGCATCTGCTGTCCAACACTGAGCAGGCTTCCCTGTCTCCTTGCATTTCGGGGCTGGAGCAGGCACCCTGGTCCTCGCAAGGGATTTGCTTGGCCTCGTGCTGACCCTTCCCACATCTCGGCACAGGAGATGGCATGGGTCCCTTCTGGTTCCCAGCTGTTCATGTTCAGCCATCACATCCAAAAGCACAAAGCAGGGCTTCCTGGTGCATAGTTTGAGGGGTTCCCACATCCATCCAAGCCCATAAAAATGCTGAAGTCTTGGCTGTTCTTGTGAGAGATCTCCAACAGGGAACAGCCAGCCTGGCCTGGGAAGCCAGCAGGACCACAAAGGGCGTGGGGTCTTCTCCGTGGGCCATTGCCTCATTGCTCCCTGCTCCCTCCCCGCAGCACTGTGCCCTCCTACAGCTCCAGCGGGACCGCAACGCCCACCCAAGGGGTGAACATGGCCAACAGCATCGCCAGCCTGCGCCTCAAAGCCAAAGAGTTCAGCCTCCATCAGAACCAGGTGCCGACGGTGAACTGAGCAGGGCAAACCCTATCCCATGGCCTCCTCCGGGATACAGCGTGGAGCTCCAGGACAAATCCACTGCCTGCCCAACACACATGCCACTCATCCAATGTCTCAGCATCTTCTCTCCTCTTCCCTTCCCTTCTGAAGGTAGAGTCAGTCCCAGGCCGAAGTGGCACATAATTATAGCCACATATGGAGCGAACTTGGTGAGAAACTTGCTTTTCCGCACACCCTTATAATAACGGCTATATATACACACATACCCCCCACGCGCTCTTTGAGGACAAACAGACTTGCCAAGGGAACAAGAATTTGCTTCCAAACATGGAAGGATCTTGGACTATTGGATTTGACCAATTTGGGTATCTTGCCCAGAGAGCCAAAGAGTTATTGGGTCTTCTCCTCCCGCAGGGACAGTGTGGGAGGGTCACGGGCCCCCCTTTCCACCAGGCTGTGACTTGTGGCGCTCAACTGTGTGTGCCAAAGCTGATCCATGTGTTCGTTTCTTTGTGCGACCCCAGCCACAGTGTGGGGTTTGGGACTTCCCAAAGTTTGGGACTTTGGGAAGCCGATGGCTCACCCATGCCATGGCCAGTCTCGGCCAGCCCTCTGCACTGTGCTTCCTGCATTTAGGAGCTGCCTATACTGATGGCATCGGGCTTTGTCCCTTGCCAGAGGGGCAAGCAGAGCTGCAGCACCTCAACAGACCCTCCCGGAGCCTGTGAGCTCCCCCGTGAGCTGGGGATGCGTCGCCAATCCCCAGGCAGGCACCGCTGCCCTGCCTCGGTGGATTTGCCAGCGATTCTGCAGAGCCCCAGGTCATTGAGCAGGCCCAGGGAATGAGAAAATTGGAAAAAGCTGTTGGGTTTCAGCTGAGTAGGCGGCTCCCAGCGCTTCGTGCCAACGAAGGCTTCGCCTTCCGGAGGCACAGCCTCCCCGTCGGCAGCTCCGCAGATGTGCTCGGGGGTCTGGGGCCGGCAGCTCCATGGGGGGAGGCTTTTTTGGTTTTGCAGAAAGGAAATGGTTTCCCCCTCATCCCACCCTGCTGCGCAGCCTAACGAGGTTCCAAGGTGGGAGGTGCAGGGGATGGACACGGGGTGGGCAGCCTGGTCCTAATCCATGGGACTGAGCTGTGGAGAGACGCAGCCTCCACCTTCCCCTGCCCGTTCCACAGCCAGAGTGCTGAGGTGTGGTGTTCCTGTGGTCAAAGCCCACTGGAAACCAGATCACCCTTTCCTCACCCACTGGAAAGAGCCACCAGCCAAGCATGGGGACACCACCAGCTCAGAGGGGTGGCCTGGACAGAGAAGACACAGCCCTACTTCCCTGGAAGGGGTTGGTTTGGGGGCTGCAGCAATAGATCTGAGGACAAATAGAGCAATTGCTGAGGTGCCTGCTCCAGGTAAACATCCTCTGGTTGGTGACACCGAGGCTGAAAGTGCCACAGCTACAAAGTGCCCACCTGAGTCCCCAGAGCTCCCTGGGACATCCTCTCCCATTCCCACTGGGGCTGTCACTGCATCTGCATGTGGGACCCAGTGGCTGTGACACCAGGGCCATCAGCTGCACCCCTGGCAATGCCAGCATGAGGGGACTCAGCCAGCACCCAGAGTTGGAGACCTGATGGGATATCCATCTCCTCTTCCTGGGCATTAACCAGCCCATCCATCCTGCCTCCAGCCTTCTCTGCTCTACAGTGCAGCCCCCAGCTGGGAACAGCTACGTTCTCCCCCTCAAACCTGGCAGGCAGGGAGAGGGCACAGCCTGAGTGACACTGCACCTCCTCCAGGGAGCAGTGTCACCCCACATACCCACCCTCTGCCCCCATCTGTATTTCCAGGCTTGGTATCCCTCCCATCTGTCATGCCAGCTCCCCACACTGCACAGAGACCTGCCAGGCCAGGGGGAAGAGGGATCCACTGTGGATCAAGTCATCCACGCTGAGAAACACCACTTGGGGCAGGAGGAGGGGGCCAGGGGGTCCTATTCCCATGGAAAGCACAGGGCTCTTTTTTCGGTTATACAAGATGAAACCACAGGGATATAAATGTCACTGCCTCTTTGAGAACATTAATGAAAATAAACCCATTTAATAGTTTGCAGATGCTGTTTCTGTAAACCTAAAAAAAGCAGGGAATAAATATTTCTTCACTAAATATCTATATGTATATATATATTTGAAAACATTTGCTCCTAATCTTAGGGCCCCTCCTTTGCTGTGCTTTTGGCAGCTTATCACAGCTTGTCAGTCAATGCTGAACTCACCAAGAAGAGATACAAATTGCACCCATGGAGGGGTAGCAGGACTGAGGGATTATTGTAATCTAAGCTCTCTCTCGCCCTTTCTATTTGTACATTTCAATTACTTGTAACAAGATCCATGGTGGATTTTTTTTTTCTTCTGCATGTCTGTGTTTTGGAAATTTTTGTAAGGTTTTTGTAAAAACAACTCTTGTGAAATAATGGAGGAATAAATATTTTACTGAGTAGAGACGTGTCAGTGCATGTGATAGGGACCTGAGTCTTCCCTCACCAGCCACTGTGGTTTCCCCACCTGCCCTGGACAAGCAGCCTGGGCAGAAATTGAATTAAGAGGCAGCAAGGAGGGTCAGATTCTGTACAGAAATCGAGCTGAAAGAACCCAAAGAGTGGAAATAAACCATCAGAATGCAGAGCACTTTCCAGGGAGTGAAGGCCCACAGGTGCAGAGCAGGCACTGAGCACCCAAAACAAGAGGAATCAATGGTCAGGCAAAGGTGATACCAAGTAGTTGAGGCAGCAAAGTTAAAAAGCAAAGTTAAACAGGGCTCCAGAAGCTCACAGTGCTGAGCTATCCAGCAGCAGATTTAATGCAATGTGGAGAGGTGTCAAGATGTGCCCAGGGGAAACTGTCCCCAGCACATGCTCAGACTGAGGCAGCGAGTCAAGTGGCAGGAATTGCTAGGAACGGATCAGAGAGCAAGGCAGAAAGTGTCCTCACTGCACAAATAAAGCTTGAAATCCATTGTGCCAAGATATTGTGGAGATCAATGCTATGGTGCATTCAGAGAGGGTGAGAAAGTTAATGGTGGGTGGGTGTGGGTGCAACACAAGGGATTGAGCAGGGATTGGCAGGTATTCAGCTGCCTGTGCAGAAATCTGCTGCCCTGCCGACTTCCAGGAGAGCTGGGAGGAGAAGGGACACCTGGGTTTCCCATGTTTCTTTTACTTGCCTTCACCTGCTGACTTGCAGCAGCCTCCTGTCAGGCCAGCTCACATGGTGTCACTTACAGGATGGCTCTGTCACCTCCTCCTCCCCCCCAGGCCATCCTTAATCCCCCACACAGCCAGGGGACCACCACGCTATCCCATGGACCCAGAGAGGCTCAGCTCCATGGGAGCCCAGGATCAGCTCCCTCCCAGCAGCAGACTTTGTCCCTCCCATCACCAGTGGCTGCTGGGACATGTGGATCCAAGGTTGAGGAAGGAAGGACCCCTAAACAATGCATTCCAGCTGTCCCTGCAGGGGAACAAGGCTCATCCCACACCATCCCTGCAGCACCCAGCAGGAGCAATTCCCCATACTGGACATCACCCCAGGCCCACCATGGTCCCACACACTTGACCATCCCTGCCAAACTCCTCTGCTGCTAATTATTTATTCATTCAGTAAGTGGCTTGTAGATTATTAAGGCAAATTGTCCAACCTCCTGCACAAAGAATATCACCCAAGCAGCATCCTCGTGTCCTCAGCACGTGGCCAGTGCAGAGCATCCCTTTGGAAAGCATCCAGCCCTGAGTCAAGAGACCCTTGGAAGTGATGAACTTACAGATCCCAGGGCAGATTCCTCCAGTGACTCATCACTGTTGGCTGCTGGAAATATGTCACTTATTTCCTGCCTGAACTGTCCCAACTTCAGTTCATCTTCCACTAGAGCAGAAGGTCTCAACCCATGGTCAGTCAGCTCCCAGGAGCTGGTGGACATCTGAGGGATCTCAAACCAGGGGACAGACAAGTGTGGAGAGCTGCAGCTCACCTGGCAGGGTCTGCACTCCACGGGGGAGGGAGATACTGGGGGCATTTTTCCTCGCTGGAAGGGCACATCCATCACCAGTACTAATTTCAGCAGGACAGCTGGTCTCCATCCATGCACTACGACTTTGGGAGTGTGGGAAGATTGCAAAGACATTTGCAAACTGTTTCCTTCCTCAAAGCAGTTGGTTTTCAACCAGGTGAATCCAAAAGGGCGGGTCTCAGGTGATGGGAGGATCTTTCTGGACCCCCTTCCTTGTTTCTGACCCCACAGCCTGACACTTATGTGTGACTTGCTGACTGATGAAAAGTTGAAGTTTGCCCCTAGAATATTTTAATGAGAACAGTTTTGTGTTGTCATCAGCATAGGCTGCTACAGCAGCAAGACAAAACAGAGCTCACATTTTCCAGCTCACGGGGACACCCGCCTGGTTATCCCGGTCCAGAATGAATTACAGACAAATCGTGGTGACAGTATCCTCCTTTTCCTTTATCCTTGTGCTGCTGAGCCCTTCTCCCTCTGGTGGCAACGGGAAGATCTGAAGACCCTCTGAATCCTGCTGGCAGCATGCACAAACTGCAGGAACACGTTCCTATGACAGCACCGTGTCACCTCCCAGCAGCAGAGCTCCTCCTGCCCTTTGGAGCAGTGCTCCTGTCCTGGGGGTCGTGATGCTCACCCCAAACTCCACATTCCATATGGAAGGAGCATCTCCTCCCTGCAGCAGATATTTTGCTCGCTGCTGCTTCTTTCCAACCCCACAGGGAAGCAACCTAAGGCAGCAGAGAAGCTGGAGGGTAGCTATGCACAGGGGTGTAATGCTTTATAGTTACTTGGGAAGAAGGGAGGAAGCAAAGGTCCCTTTTGCAGCTGGTGTCACAAAGCCCAGGAGGAGTTATCACGAGTAAGGAAGAACTCTTGCATGGAGATGCACAGCATTGCAGCCATACACCACAACTTCAGAAGCGGGGGAAGTTTGCAAGGATATTTACAAACTGTTTCCTTCCTCAAACCACTCTGTTTTCAACCAGGTGACTCCCAAAGAGCAAGTCTGCAGTGATGCCAGGATCTCCCCGGAACACACATCGCACCTTGCCTGCTTTGGAGAGGCTGATGGACGCTGGAGCAGACACCATCCTCCTCCTCCTCAACCCGTTCCCCAAGGAATGGCACCTTCCCTGCGCCCCGAACACTCCATGCGCACCCCCAGCTCCAGGATGCGCGGGTGCGGTGTCCGGGCAGGGTCCCCGTGTCCCCGCAGGTCCCGCAGCCACACGAGGGTGCTGCAGCCCCGCTCAGCGCAGCCCGGGGCCGATCCCCCGGCCCACGGCTCAAGCCGGGGATGTCTCACAGCTCAGCCCCACATCGGGCTAGAAAACCCCCGCTGGAAAAAGTTTTCCCGGTGCCAACTTCATCCTGGTGTGCCAGAGAGCAGCAGGGAAGCGCCGTTGTCTTCTCCACTTCGGAATGCCCATGGCTGTAGAGCCGGCTCCGTCTGCAAGTCACAGGAATCTCAATTCCTCAAGGGGAATTTTGTATCAAAGTCCCATCTGCTACAGGAATGGGGATGTTGGGAGAGCAGCAAAGGAAGAGCGGTCTGTGTTAAAGGTAAGCTGCCCAAGAAGGAATCTTGGTCCAGATCCCAGCAGGGAACGCTCTGGATGAAGAGACCCGGGGAGCGGGGCAGGCAGGTAAGGAAGAGGCGTGAGCACAAGAGGTGTGTCCGTGAGCAGGGCTGGGTGGATCCTGGGGCTTGAAGCACCCGAAAGAGTGTGGGAGGGAAAGCGCCTTGTGCCGGGGCTCCACTTGCTTTTCTCCCAACACCGTGAGGGAAGACACGTACTGGTGATGTGAGTCACATTCACACATTTAACCACAGAACGGGGCGGAATGGACCTTAAAGGTCACCTACTCGCATCCCACCCTGCCGTAGGCAGGGACAGCTTGAATTAGACCAAAGTTGCTCAAACAACCTGGCTTTGAACTCTGCCAGGGCTGCGGCATCCACAGCCTCCGTGGGCAGCCTGTACCAGTGTCCCACCACCCTCACAGGAAAAGAATTCTTCCTAAAGTCTAACTGAAATTTGTACCCACTTAAGCACCAGATCGTTGTTCTGCAGTCCCAGGTGGGTTTCACAGCGTTGCTGTCTCCTGTTTGAGCCAGGTGTGAAGAACAAGTGGTTGGACATACAAGGCACACACCAAACCCCAGAGACTGGTGGGTGCAACCACTGTCCTTGCTCTCCTGGAGCAGCAGGAGACACTGGGCACGTCCTTTGCCTACATTGATGCCAGAGCAGGAATTTGGCAGCTCTGGGCTATAGATATCAATTGGGAAAAGGCAGGAATGCCTCTCACATGCAGCAACCACTGGCAGTGTCCAGGGAAGAGCCAGTGGCTCTGATCACCTGGTCCCAGGAGAGCCCTGATGGGACTGGTGCTGCCCAAGCAACTGAGCCCAGCTTAGTTTTGCTTCCCCCAAACTTCCACAACACTTCAAAATAAGTGCAATGCCTGGGCCTCTCTTAAGTTTGCCTTGCAGGCTTTTTGTGTTTGTTTTTTTTGAGCCAGGAGAGTTCACATTCCCAAGCTTTTCCCTGCAGCCAGTAAGCAGAGTTTATTTTTTTTTTTTTAATAAAAAAGGAGAAAGCAGAACTTTGCATGTAACCTCAGCTTTCCTGAGCAGGGCATCAGCCTCAGGCACTGGACAGGCAGCTGAGAAGAGATTGAAGCAGCTGGCAGATCTGGGGGTTGGAAGGGGCTTCTGGAGCCTCCCTTCTTCCTTCCTATGCCAAAATCTCCATCCCAGCCACATCTCCAACCTCAGCAACATGTACTGGAGAGAGTCCATTTTATAAAACCACTGCCTTTCTCATTTGAAAACAAACAGGGAAAGAAAACAACCAAGTGGAGCCATTTTCTGAAACTAACACAGACAGGGCAGCACCTCCCAACCACCAACAACTTAAGAAAATAGGGGAAAACCAGAGAAATGAAGCATTTGTTTCCCAGCAACCTAGTGAAAAAAAAAAAAAAGGGGGGGGGTGGTTTACTTATCTTGGAAAACACAAGCAGCTCCTTTATGAGTCCTAAGAACAGAAAGAAGAGCAACTAGCTCTTACCTGAGTTTCTCCAACCCTCCAGGATTTTTGGGTGAACACCAAGCTTTGTAACAACTTGCTACTCAGTGAAGGGAAAGTGAGCAGAGCTGCTTATAATTCCCAGCTCTGCTGGATTTAAAGGATCAGCACAAATAATGCACACCTGGAAAAGAGGTTCCTCTGCAGGGCAGGTGAGTGCAGGGGAAAGGGATGTCTCTTTAGTAGTCCCAGGACACTCCAGGCTCTACAGTGGGGTTTAACATCCTGCTGAGGATCCATCCTGCTGGGGCTGGGCCCAGCTGCTGCCCAGCTGCATCTGCTGCTCCCAAAGGAAGGATATATCAGAGCACAATGATTTGTTTTTATTGGGAATATTTGCTTCCTGCCACCAGGATGCATGTGCAGCAGCAGAGAAACATACAGGAGTGCAAGACCTTGTGCACCATGTGAGGCAGAAAAGATTTTTTAAGAGGAGTCTGTGTTACCCAGACATCTGTGGGAAGTGGCCAAGAGTGAAGTGCTGAACCTGCAATCCTGCCCACCTTCCTCGCAGTGGGAGAGCAAAGAATTCCACTCCAAACTCCACCACACGGCTCAGCCTGAGGCCACAACTGCACTGGGATGGAGTTACTGGCACAGAAACTTCTACCTGAGTTCAGAAAAGGCTGGACATCAGCCTGAGCAGGTGTGTCCCCAGTGCTCAGTGGGGGCTCAGCAAGAGCATCCCTGAGGAGAGCAGGGTCAAGGGAGCAGCCTTAGTGCACAGGACAGGTGGAAGGGGAATTTATTTTCTGCTCATTCTGGCTTGCCCCTGTGCTGCTATTCAAATTCTGTGCTGCCCTCAGAGGGAGGAGGCACTGAAGAGCAGAGGTTTCTCCTGCCTTCTCCTCCAGAGGATGCTCCACTGCTGCTGCTGCTGGGAGCAGCCCTGGCACTGGGGACAGCTGTGTGGCAGAGCAGCTGATGGGCCCTTGTCACCAGGCAGTACCCTGCCCCAGCTCTTCCCAGCTCTCCTCCCCTTTTGGGTGACACTGCAGAGCAGCAGTGCTCCCTTCAAAGCCCCTCTGCTCATTTCCAGAGCTTTCTGCAAACACCAGCTGGTCCGGGCTGTGAATGGCGTGGCAGCAGTGGACAGCAGGAAACAGCTGAAAGAAAACTTCCCTAAGGCAATCACAGCACATTTCCCAAATAGCAACGGGCCAGAGAAAGGCTACAAACAGGGGGAGAAACTCAGTCTGATGCCCTGGGGGCATTTTCAGGTATTAATGGCATGTGGACTAGACTACCCTTTGGGAGAAAACCCTGCCTGCAAACCCCATTTTGTGCCAGCATTTCAGACATTCCAGAAGTCCCAGAACTTTGTGTCCGGCAAATGCGTTCAGGCTGCGTGTCCAGGGTAAAGGATTCCTGCTGGCTTCTCCAGGCATGTCACTCTGCATCTTGCTGTGGTGAGGCTGAGATGGAAAAGCCTCAGCTGCTGCTGGCTGGGAGCTGCCAGGAGCTCCAGGGTCCTGCTGCAGGGAGCTGTGTGCTGTGGTGTGAGACGAGGTGGCACGGGGAGCACTGAATGGCTTCGCCCCTGAGATTTGGACGCCCCTGTCAGGCTGCCTGGAAGGCACCTGCCTCCCGTCCTCCTTGGTGGAGCAGGAACCTAAGGGACTAAATCCGAAGGGACTCACATTCCCAGAGATGCACATGGCTGGGCAGGAGCTGGGTGGCTGCTTTATAACCTCTGCTACCAACCACATCTGCTAAGAGACTTTGTGGGACCCTCGTGATTTTCCCTGCCTGATTCATGGGATATTCATGACCAGGAGGAAAAGGTCTCAGTCACAGTTCCAAACACAGAAAACCTTTCCCTCAATGACCCCTTCTTCGAGGGGTAGTCCATGTGCTTTCCACTTCTCACCATCAGCAGGAGAGAGAGAAACCTGCCTCCACATCCCCTTCCTGCACGTCCCTTCTCTCTGGTGATTCCTCTGACAAATTCCGATGGCGGTGGAATTTCATCAAGGCTGCACTGAACATCCTCAGGGTGCAGGTGACCTCCCTGGTGATATCTCACACACACACACACACACACACACTCCCTCTCAGGGGGCCCAGCAGAGTCAGGATGAGGGGTTTGGGTGGTGGGTCTCTCTGGCTGTTACCAGTAGGGGCTGGTGGCCAGCAGGATCTGCAGGGCCATGGAGAAGCAGGGCAGCTGGGCCACGCTGTAGGCCACGGAGCGTGTGGGTGCCCTCAGCTGCAGGAGGTAGGCAATGGTGTGGATGATCCGTCCCACGCAGAAGATGAGGAAGTGGATCCTGGCCACTGTGGGACTGGGATCCAGCAGGGAGTAGATGGCTCCGAGGAAGAGGAAGGGAAAGATGTTCTCCATGTCATTGCGGTGGGCCCTGAAAAGCAAGATAAGGTTGTTCCTTCCTACCAGAATTCCCTGTTTTCTCTCATTCCTTCTAGCCAGAGTACCCATCCCTAGGTGCTGCTGGGCCTCTTCCCCACTGGATGAGGCAGACAGAGCCCCCAAAAGAGTCAGTTCTCCCTTACACACAGAGGCAGGAGAATTTCACACCCTGTGTCTCTCCCTTGGGATGCTGAGCTCCTGAAACTTTCTCTCCATGACTGGGACGCCTTTGCCACAGCAGATGACAGCTCCAGGGCTGGAGCTTTCAAATAAACAGAGCAAAACACAGACCCTGTGAAGCTGCAAAAAGCTCAAAACTGGTGTGGTGCCAGCTTTTGTTGCTACACAACAAAAGCAGTTCCAGACTACAGCTCCTCCAGTGGAGAAACTCACAGGATGAGAGGGGTTGTGGTTTCACCTCTCTCCATAAATGCATCCAAAGGGGATTGGGGAGGAGTGGCCCAGCGACTCCCACACTGTGGCTGGAGGGGATGCTGTGGCCGTGTGGGGACACATCAGCCCTGCTGGAGCCAAGCCCTGTGCCCCAGCTGAATGCACCTGCCTGGGTGTCACAGCGCCACTGCCACCACCCCAGCACTAATGAAACAGGACCTGCTCGGGCCATGAGTGTGGGTTGTGCCCCTCCTCCCCCAGGCACCCTCCTCTGAACAAGGAATTGGGGGTCCAGCAGGGCTGGAAGGACAAATGGAAGAGGAAGGAGGAGAAAGGAGAGAGCTGCGAGGCAGCCAGGGGCCTCTTTAGGAGGAACAGGGTAAATGTCCTGCCCTGCCCCTGCCCTGCCCAGACCCCTGGCTCTGCTCCCCTCCAGATACAGTCTGAGATGAGAAGCTGACATTGCCCTTGCTCTGGGGAAACACTTTGGATTGAATGTGTCTTCTCCAGGGCTGCAAATACATCAGCAAGGACGGACTCTGAAGCTGCCCAAGTCAGATCCCAGGCTGCCCCAGGTTTTTGCTGCAGCTCCAGTTATTTATTTTTATGGAAGTTTGTTTATCCTGAATAATCAAAAGAAGATTATGATTATTATTTCTGCTATTATTTTATTTTTGCTAGGAAGGAAAAGGCTCATTTTCCATCCTCCTCCTCCCCCTGGCAGCCTGGCAATTAGGTGGCACTGGATGTTTTCTAAAGCAAATGCTGGAGGCAGTGGGACATGAACAGTGAGGTCCCCATGGGCTCAAGGACAGCAGGGCACAGCTCCAATCCCTTTCAGCAATCCAGCCTAGCATTTGGGGCACCTCCTTTGGTAAGGGGGACAGCAAATCAAGCCCAGGGCTGAATAACCCCATGTTTTACCTCTGAGAAACTGTGATTCTCACAGAAGAGGGCTAACATTCAGAGTGTGCCCAATCAGGGAGGCAAAAGTTATTGTAATCCTGTTCAGCCTTTTCCCAAATCCCCAAAAAGGGCAGCTGCCTACAGCACTGGGACCAGTCACTCTGTTGCCTGTCCAAGCTATGCGGGGATCTGGAGTCCTGTCAGAGCAGGACACAAAGAGCCTTTCAGTGTGGGTATGGGATGAGACACTGGGAATCTGTGGGACTCTGAGCACCTAGAAAAGAGCTAGTCAGAGTTGGATGTAGAATGCAAACCCAGATCCTTTTCTTGCCCTTGCTCCAGTGCACACCATGGTAAAGATTAAACTGCTCTCGTGCTCAGGGTCCCACAGCAGAGCTCGAGGCAGTCTGACCATCTAGAATATTACTCCATTAGCGAGTCCTTTAACTTCCCATTTCTTGTTTGCCAGCAGCTGGTGCAGAGGGAATGGTGGCACCAGGAATGCTGGCACCAGAGGGAATGGTGGCACCAGGAGTGGTGACACCAGGAGCAATGGTGACAGCAGAGGGAATGGTGGCACCAGAGGGAATGGTGGAACTGGGAATGCTGGCACCAGGAATGCTGGCACCGGAGGGAATGGTGGCACCAGGAGGAGTGGTGGCACCAGAGGGAATGCTGGCACCAGGAATGGTGGCACCAGAGGGAATGGTGGCACCAGAGGGAATGCTGACACCAGAGGGAATGGTGGCACCAGAGGGAATGCTGACACCAGAGGGAATGCTGGCACCAGGAATGCTGGCACCAGAGGGAATGGTGGCACCAGGAGGAGTGGTGGCACCAGAGGGAATGCTGGCAGCAGGAATGGTGGCACCAGAGGGAATGGTGGCACCAGGGGGAACGCCGGCCCCGCTCACCTGCGGCACCGCTCCACGTCAGGGTCCTCGCGGCAGAACTGCAGCCCTCCGTTGCGCAGGGCGTCCTCTGGGTTTGCAAATGCCTGTAAGACACAGTCCCCACCTGCTTACAGCCTTCAGGAACCTCACAGGTAGAAGCTTTGCCCCTAATCTTGAAGTTCTGTGGGGATTTTACCTGCCCAAATTTGTTACCACTCTATAAAAACAAGGGTCACCGCACTTCCATGCACACTGTCCTGCACCTCCCCAGGAGTTTTCCCTGTCCTCCAAAAAACCCAGTGCTGCCTGCTGGGCAGGTTCCAAATGAGGGTTTCAAGGGAGCTCTCACCTCACTCCCATCCACTTCTTCCCGTGAAACCCATTTAGAGGAGACTTTCCAGGCAGAGACATCGCTGCTGGCAGAGAGCTTGCAGACAGAATGCAGCCTCCAAAAGATAACCAGGACTGACAGATTACAGAATATTCCCTGGCTGGATTTTTTGGCAGTGGCACTGTGTGGCTTTCCCACAGGGAAATGGGATCCTACACTAATAAAGTTAAAAATGAAAATGATTTTTGTAAGCTCCTCACCTATGCTCAGAAGCTGTTCCTCAGGGACCTGGCTACATCTGACAGCTTCATTTTGCAGCCTGGAAAGGGCCCTGGTGCTTTCTTTAATTATGTTACAAGCCCGAACTGTCCCAGGGCTGGAGCATCATTTAGAATCACAAGGGGAGAAGACAATTAATCAGTTAAAATGATGCCACAGCACAGGGTATTTGTATTCTATCTGAGACCAGAAATGTCTCCCTCTCTCTCCACTGACACAGTCAGAAACTCCTCAAATACTTTAAAACAGATTTTACAGAAAGCTGGGTTTTATCAGGAGTTGGGGTGAGGGTAGTAAAAGTCCAGTTGGCCCCAACTCCTGACAGCAGCTGGTCCTCCCTGACCAAGAATCATCTCCTCCAGCTATTGTTTTATTGCCCACAACTTGCTGCTCTCCTGGAGCATTCCCTTAGCCAGCCAGACTCCAAAAGCTTTCTGCTACATCACAAGAAAAAAAGATCATTGCAATGATTTCTTCTTAAACTTTTTTTTCTCTTCTTTTTTCTTCCAGACCCTGCAAATCAACTGTAAACAGACTCTTTCTAGAAGCATCTCACCTGCTTGGCATTTTAGATCTGATTATTATTTAGATTAGGTTTCCAAAATTATAAACATCAAGCTACAGATGGTAGAAACAAACAGAAAGGGTCAAAGAGAAGTGAGATATTTATCTGCTGCAGCTATGAAACAAGTTTTGCTTTCAACTGAAGTCAAAGAAAACTCAGCTTGCTTCAGGAAAATTTTGCTGAACTTTTAGAGGAATAAAAGAAGAAAGCAAAATCACAGAAACCCAAGCAAAGAGCCAGAAAGGGAGGAGAAGAAAACGAAACTGGATCTTACCTTCTTTCTGAGTCTCACTTGCCCCGTAATGATGGCAACGACATACATTTTTAAAATCAGAATTGTGCTGTAGAACGTGAATGACAGGAAGACTTTATTCTCCATCATTTTGGGAGAACGTGCTGCTGGGCACCAAAGCCAGGGGAGATCTTGGGCTGCGAGAGAGCCCCCCAGGAGAGAGGCAGGAACAGCTGCGTTTAAACACAACACAAATCACTCATTTTCCAGCCCCTGTGCCGGGACAGCGAGCAAACCCCAGCCAGCAGATGCAGCAGCTTCTGCTCCTCACACCCTGAGCTGCCGAGGCAGGAGGGGTCGGGCACGGAGCTCCGACCCCTCCAAAGCAGCGCGGACCCCCGCCCCAGCCCCGCGGTGCCCGGGGACCGAGCCGCGCACAGCATCCCTCGCCCGGCCGGGCGCTGCTCACCCGGCAGCGAAGCTCTGCCGCCGTGGAAGGAGGAGTTTGGTGGAAGGTAAACCCTGCCCCAGCCCTGGCAGTCCTGCCTGGAGCCCACTCCTCCGTGGCTGCGCTTCCCGTCCCGCCCAGCGATGGCTGAGCGCTCGCTCCCGTGGCCAAGCCTTTCCTGCAGATCCACCTGCGAGGGATGGACAGGGGACACAGCTGTCCCTCGGCACAGCAGCGCCCACCAGCCGGGAGCCTGGGCTGTCCCCGCACCCCCGGATGGGAGGGGAGCCCCGGGAATGACCAGCCTGGAACCCCAGCCAGGAATATCCTGGTCTGCAGAGCCCCAAAACTGCAAGAAGTGAAGAGCTGCCGGTCCAACTCAAAGAAAGCTTGTTCTGAGACGAGGAACCAAGGCAGCCTGATGGAATTTTTGGTTTAGAAAGTGCCATGTGAATTTGGAGCTGGCTTTTCATCAGCCATCAAACATTGTGGAATAAAGAGTGGGATCGGAGCCCCTGCAGGCAGCTGGGCTGCTGTTTAATGCAAGTTTAACTCCTTCTCCCTCACTGCTAGCAGCTGCAAACCTCAGGGAGCCAGAGGTGTGGGGGCTGACAGGAGCTCTCCAAGTTTATTAGAGTGGAAGGGCTGGATTTTGTATTTATTTCCTTAACACAGGAGAAAAACAAAACAAAACACCAAACAAAACCAACAAAAAAACTTATTTTTGAAAAACAGAAAAGTTCTTTGCATTTGCCTCTGAATGTTCCTCGTGGCCTGGTGCTGCAAACCCAAAGACACTCCACTGTTCCATGCAATGCTCTGGCTCAGCCTCATGATATCTGAGTGTGCATCCATGTACACATGGGAGCACAAAGCAGTGAAGAAAAGGCAAAGCTGGATGTGCAATGGGACCTGCAGTGCAAGCACAGGAACTGGTCGTAGCTCCTGTGATTTTTGTTGCCATGGCATGGGGGTGAATGGGGAGTGGAGGCCATATGGTCTAGTTTTTCTACCCGATACCCAGAAAAGTTTTGACAAACCAAAACCTCCTACTAATAAATATTCTGTACAACATGCCCACAAATAACAGAAGTTTTGATCACTATTGGCAGCACTTTGCACTATAGTGGTTAATAAGAGGGGAAAGCTGGACAGTTTAATATCTAGCTGGCAGACAAGAATTTTACTTGAAATTCCAGGAACAGTTTGACAGATTTGTCCTCTCCCACCCCACAAGAGTCATCTTTTGGTAAGTCTTGTGTCCTCAGAGAGTTAACCTGGGAAATTAAGATTGTGATTACCATTGTATTGTTAGCGCTCTATAAAGCCACTCTGCAGTTCAGGCATTTGTCATGGGCAATCCAAAAGAACCATATATGTGACATTTGATAAACTGTGCTATTCCTGAACCCAGCTGGCTCTTCTGAATGTGACCAGGCCTATAGTTCACAGACTAGTGGTGCACCTGGCATGAAGCCTTATAGTTACAGTTTTTTAGCAGTGCAGAAAGCCTTTGAAAACCCCAAACACTTGGTTTTAAGGGGGAGGTACTTGCAGTTGGTCACCACTACCCTGGCACTGGGGAGGCTGCAGGACAAGTCCTGGCACAGCCCAGTGTGGAGCTCTGCAGCCTCTGGCAGGCTGCTTCCCTGGGGGTGGGAGTGGGGACACCGGGACGTGCAGCAGCCATGTGGATTCAGGCTCTGTGCTAAGAGCTGGGGTGTTCACCAGTGAACCACATCCAAACCCACCCACGCATCCCTGGAGCTTGTCAGGGTACTATAAACACCATAATGCCAAGTGTAAATAGGCAGTGGCAAAGCCACATCCCAAACACTGCTCCCTCCCATCCCTCCTCTCCACAGCTGATAGGGATCAACCCACAGCAGAGAAGACCTCCGTGCCCAAGGACTGGGGTTATGCAGGGCCAGACCAGCCCCACAGCATGGATGAGACATTCTCCAGCAGCACCTTCTCCCAGGAGCCTGGGAGAGGGCAGGCAGCCAGACCCTTCACCAACACATCACACCCTCCATGCAGCAGCTCCAGTTTTTACCAGCTGATGATCCAGTCCACGGGGTCTTCAGCAGTGGGACCTTTTTCCTTCATGCACCTTCTTCCCCTCCCAAGGCAGCCAACACCTCGCTGAGCAGCAGGAATATGCACCTGCAGACAAGCCAGGACTCCTCCTGCCAGCCAGCCAGCCTTCTCCTCCTTGGCACGGTTCAAACACTGGCAAGGAGCCCTGGACAATTTGCACCAGCAACTGGCACAAATTTACATTGAACAGAGAGATCAGGAAGCACACCTTGTTTAGGGATAAACCCTCAGGGCAAACTCAGGTGTGGATGTGTTAATTTTAAAAAGTTTTTTTTCTGTGTGTTTATGCATTTCAAACCCATTCCAGTGTTACACAGAGTGGAACCCCAGAGGGGAGGGTTATGGATGGGGATGAGGAGCAGAAGATGACTGCAAAGGCAGGTGTAATCTCCTGGGATCCCAGCTCCTTTTCAGTTTACCAGGTTCAGGGCTCTCATGCTGGGTAGAACACATCCACACTTGCACCTTCCTGGCTTTTGAGACCCAGCAGCTGCTGGAAGCATGTTCAACCATCCCATTAATCCATGCGGAAGCAGGCTGTTAATATTAATGGTTTGATCCTCCTCCACAGATCACATCCTGCCAGGACAGAGCCCTTGCCTCAAGAAGGCCAGGTCCTAACACCAGTATGTCTTTAAACTACAAGTCATGCCTTAAAACCTTGAGCATGAGAGGTCTCAACCCAGGACAAGATCTACGTAAACCCAACACTGTTAGCCAAAAACACTGCATTTTTTTTTCTGAGAAATTATTAATAAAATCCATGAGAGGCTTTGAAAGATTAAGTCGTCGTTAGACTGACCCCAGAAGATGTAGGGAAATAATGCAGCATTTTGCTGGAGGAGGAAGTGAACTGTAGGAAGCAGAAGGAATGAAAAATTAATGGGAAATGCTTGGGAAAAATACTTAAAAATAGAAGCCTGTAAAAGCGATTCTGCTTTGGCAAGATTATGGAATAAAAATCACTCTTGATTCCCACATAGGTTATTTATTTGACCAACTGAATTGCACTACAGTATTGTGACTACATTTTTCCACTCTTGCTCCTCTGGGGAATTTCCCGGTGGCAGCAAAAGGAGGGAGGTGGTTCAGTGGAGCACTGGCACGTCCGCTGGGGTGGCACAGCCTGGACTCCACCCTGATCCCAAAGGGAAGCCGACACTTTGAGCAATTACAGCTCAGATTCCCCAAAATTTTCCCTAAGGAGCAATTACATCCCACAGCTGGAGCTAAGCAAAGAGCCCGAGGGGACTGCTCCAGGCTGGAGAAGATGGGCAGGTGGGTGGCACTTCTCCAGCATGCTTCCACATGCTGGTGGAGAAGGTGCAGAGCCCAGCTGGGATTTTGCTTGCCCTGGGCACACAGCTCAGCCCAGGAGCTGAGCTACGTTCCCAGCTTGCTCCAATGCTACTGTGTACACTGGTGCCCTCCTGCCCTGCCATTTCTTCCTGCTGCTCCCAGCACAAAGCCTTGGAGCCTGCACACTCCAGTGATCACCTGCACCCATCCTGGGAAACCCAGCTGCCAAGGGAGGCTGTGCTGTGCTGGCTCATCAAACACGATGACTTTTCAAGTAAAGGCATGAGCGTTTCAGCTGTTTATTAGCGAGAAGGGTGCTCCACCTGCCTTCCCTCCTCAGTCTGCACGAAAGCTCCCACCACCATGACGCACCTTCCATGGACCTGTGAAATGCTCTTGCTTCACCTGCAGCTCCCTATCCCCAGACTCCTGGGCTCCTCATGCTTGTTTCAGCAAGCAGGACACAGAAGATACTGCAAAGTCAGTAAGCAGTGGAACCACCAGCACCTCTGGCCCCCAGCATTAGCATCTGTTGTGGTTTGACACTGGCCAAACTCCAGGCACCCATGAAAGTCACTCACTTGCCCTCCCCTGCCACAGCTGGGCAGAAAGAGAAAATTAACAAAGGGTTCATGAGTTGAAATAAAGACTGGGAGAAAAACTTCAAGGGCAAAATAGGCTCGGCTTAGAGGTACAAAGTGAATTTATTCCTAACAAAATCAGAGGAGGATAATGAGAAGTGAAATAAGCCCTTAAAAACATCTTTTCTTCCTCCAACTCCTTCCTTCTTCCCACTCACAGTGCAAGGAGACAGGGCATAGGAGCTTTGGTTATTTCATCACTGAGATTTTCTTCCACTGCTCAGGGAGAGAAGTTGTTCCCCTGGGAGACTGTGGGGTCCCTCCCACAGGAGACAGTTCCCCGTGATCTTCTCCAGTGGGTCCACTCTCATGAGCAGCATTCCTTCCCAAACTGCTGCAATGTGAGTCCTCCCAAAACTGCTGTGGCATGGGTCACTTTTCCATAGGATGCAGTCCTCCAAGGAGAGCCTGCTCCAGCCTGGAAGCAGGGCCCTCTCTCCACTGGATCTCCCATCTTCTCCAGTGGGTCCACTCACATGAGCAGCATTCCTTCCCAAACTGCAATGTGAGTCCCTCCCTGGGCACACAGTCCTCCCAAAACTGCTGTGGCATGGGTCACTTTTCCACAAGGTGCAGTCCTCCAAGGAGAGCCTGCTCCAGGCCTGGAAGCAGGGCCCTGCCTCCACTGGATCTCCCACTGGGTCACAGCCTCCTCCAGGTGCCCACCCGCTGTGGTGTGGGCACCTCTGCCATGGGCTGTGGGTGGATCTCTGCAACTCCAGTGTGGGCACCTCTGCCACAGGTTGTGGGTGGATCTCTGCATACCCCCTGGATCCCCACAGGCTGTGGGTGGATCTCTGCATTCCCCGTTTCCACAAGGTGCAGTCCTCCAAGGAGAGCCTGCTCCAGGCCTGGAAGCAGGGCCCTGCCTCCACTGGATCTCCCACTGGGTCACAGCCTCCTCCAGGTGCCCACCCGCTGTGGTGTGGGCACCTCTGCCATGGGCTGTGGGTGGATCTCTGCATCCCCCATGGATCCCCACAGGTTGTGGGTAGATCTCTGCACCCCTGTGGATCCCTGCAGGCTGTGGGTGGATCTCTACACCCCCACGGATCCCCACGGGCTGTGGGTGGATGTCTGCATCCCCCGTGGATCCCCACGGGCTGTGGGTGGATCTCTGCATCCCCCATGGATCCCCACAGGCCGTGGG